GTGGGAATCCAGCGACATAGCCATTACGCTAACTGCTGGTTCCCAAAGTTTTTGCTGGCCTTAGCAATTTTTTTGATTTATTAAAGCTAAAATTGCTTTTCTTAAAATTAAAAAAAATATATTAAAAAATACTATTTTACGACCGTAGTAAGCTATATAACACCAGCTAGGTGCTACCTTATAGTATATTCATTCTACTCAAGAGTTTCATGCTTAGGCTCATGCCAGGCACATGTGCATCTGTGCCCAAGAGCCCAAGAGGAGAATGGAGGAGCCACGCCCCCTGGGCAGTGATTTCTCACTTTCTGTCTCTCTGTCACTCTTTGTCTTTATGGTGAGCACATGCGCCCTAGAGCAAAAACCTCTCAAAAAAAAAAAAAGTTAAAAAAAGAAAAAGAAGTCCTTGAAGTAAAACTAAAAAATAAAAATAATAATAGAGATGTTTAAAAGAGAAGACATGGTAAAGTAAATGATTTGGTGATTTATAGGCTTTACAAAGTTTTTGGTTTTAACCTTCTTGAAATTTATTTCAAAGAAATACTCAGCTACTTGTAACATTTTTGGACTTTTCCTCTGTTATCTAGTTTTATATAATAAGTAATGGTTATAATAGTAAATATATATGCAAAAAGATAAAATGGAAATAAACAAAAAAATTGTTTTTCTCTTTTTATTTAACATGCCACCACCTGCATGAAACTGTCAGTGAACACACTGGGATAATTACATTCCAAGGTTATTTATGCATTTTTATAGCTTACACTTTTCACTTAATAATATTTGGGAATAGTTTTACTGTTCATAAAGATTCATCAACACTGGAAAATTGCATAAAAGAATCACAGTTTTTTTTTTCCTTTTTGAGAGGTTTTTGCTATACGGCAAATGCGCTCACCAGAAAGACAAAGGACAGAGAGACAGAAAGTGAGAAATCACCCCCTGGGGGGGATGGCCACGCCACAATCCTTTCTCCTCCATTCTGTTCTCGGGATCTTGGGCACACCCGCACATGCCCCTGGAAGAATCATAATTTATTTAACCAGGTACACATCATGAGCCACTTAGTTTATTTCCAATTTTTTACTTTTGAAAACAATGTTATAGTGAATGCCTTTTTTTTTTTTTTTGGAGAGATTTTCACTGTAGGGCGCGTGCACTCGCCAGACAGACAGAGAGAGACATAGAGACAGAAAGCGAGAAATCACCCCCCAGGGGGGATGGTCACGCCGCAATCCCTTCTCCTCCATTCTCCTCTCGGGATCTTGGGCACGCACGCACACGCGCCCGGCGTGAGTTTTAAGCCACCGGGTCCGGGACACGAACCGCGGTCGACTACGTGGGAATCCAGCGACATAGCCATTACGCTAACTGCTGGTTCCCGTGAATGCCTTTATAGTGTGTCTTTGTGGCTAAATATTTGTATACATTCTAAATTGTTTTCAGGATGACTGCCTAAAGGTAGAGTGGCTGGTTAAACTACTAAAGTATACATTGTTTTTAACTTTATTTTGTGAAAACTTTAAAAATGTATACAACTTAGCTTAGGATATTGAACCCTTATGGACCTATTCAACAACCATCAACCTCTACCCATCTTTTTAAAAAAATCTGTACTCCCACACACTTCACCCCAGTTCCTGTATCAATTAGAATAAATCTGAGATAGGGGCCAGCAAGTAGCATGGCGGTTAAAGGCGCTGGATTCCCACATGGCCGACCACGGTTCAAGTCTTGGACCTGGTAGCTTGCTTTCTCACTTCCTCTCTTTCTCTCTGTCTCTCTCTGATCAAACTGGAAAATAATAATGATAATAATAAATAGGGTTGGGAACCAGCAGTTAGCGTAATGGCTATGTCGCTGGGCTCCCATGTAGTCGACCGCGGTTCACGTCCTGGACCCAGTGGCTTAAAACTCACGCTGGGCGCGTGTGCGTGTGTGCCCAAGATCCCGAGAGGATAATGGAGGAGAAGGGATTGCAGCGTGACCATCCCCCCTGGGGAGTGATTTCTCGCTTTCTGTCTCTCTGTCTCTCTCTCTCTGTCTGTCTGGCGAGTGCACGCGCCCTATAGCGAAAACCTCTACAAAAATACACATAAAAAAATAAAGTAAATATGGTAAAAATAAAATAATTCTTTAAATAAAAAAGAAATAGATCTGAGATATCATGCCAGAAAGATTAATTTCTGCTTATTGCTCTTTCCTATTCTTGAGGCAGTGACCTCTGGCTATTTGAAAATGGGAAAGGATAAAAAGTGAGTTTCTAAAATTAAAGAAAACAATTAACATCATGTCAGCACAATCCAGTGTGGTGTTTGGGCTGTTTCTGTTTTCTCTGCCACAAGTAGGCTCAGGACTCATCATTTGTTTCCTGGATTCCTGCAACAACCTCAAAACCAATCTCATATCAACTCTTTTTTCTCTCCCTGTGAATAGGCATGTACTCTTTTTATTTTTTTAAGAATTATGTATTAATTAATTATTATTATTATTATTTGAGCAGAAAGAGACAGAGAGAGAGGGAAAATGAGAAAGCAAGTCACTAGGTCTGGGACTTGAACCTCAGGCAGAAATATGGGAGTCCAGCACTTTAGTCACCATGCCACCTGCCAGCCCTGGCATACTTTTTTTTTTTTTTTGAGAAGTTTTTGCTATAGGGCATGTGTGCTTGCCAGAAAGACAGAGAGACAGAAAATGAGAAATCACCCCCCATGGGTGAGGGCCATGCCATGATCCCTTCTCCTCCATTCTCCTCTTGGGTCTTGGTTACACATGCACACGTACCCAGCATGAGTTTAAGCCACCGGGTCTGGGACTTGAACCGCGGTTGACTACATGGGAGTCCAGCAGCATAGCCATCATGCCAACTGCTGGTCCTGGCATGTACGTTTCTAAGCCATATTACATCTTGCCAGATTGCTCTCCAGAAAGTTGATCTAATTTATATTGTTGCCAGTATTATGTAGGAGTGCCTGTGCTAATTGTTAAAGCCCTTCTTCCCTCTTCTCCTCCATTTCTCTTCTTCCTTTCTTAATTTTCTAGATTCCTCACCCTACCCACAAAAGTTTCATTGTTTAAATTAGAACTTATGTGGCTATTAATGAAGTTAAATTCTCTTCCTTCCCCACTCCCACTACCCAATTTGCTCACTGAATATTTAAATTTCCTCTTTGTGTATTGCCTTTTGCTAGTTTTCCTTTTGGGGTGTTTGTCTTTTTAAAATTATATTCATCCATGTGTGTATGTATGTATATATATATATATGCATGCTCACCAGAGAGAGAGAGAAAGAGAGAGAGAGAGAGAAAGCTGCCAGGTCCAGGCACAAACCACATGTGTCCATGTGGGAATCCAGAGCCCCAGCCACTGCGCCACCTGCTGGTCCTCATCCGTGTGTATTAATTCATAGTATTGTGCTTATATTAGTGAATTGCTATGAATACCTTTTTTAAGGCTAAGATAACATACATTACGTTTATGTGAAAGAATAAGTATGTGTTATATAGTTAACAGCTCATTGTCACACAAACCACATGTGTCCATGTGGGAATCCAGAGCCCCAGCCACTGCGCCACCTGCTGGTCCTCATCCGTGTGTATTAATTCATAGTATTGTGCTTATATTAGTGAATTGCTATGAATACCTTTTTTAAGGCTAAGATAACATACATTACGTTTATGTGAAAGAATAAGTATGTGTTATATAGTTAACAGCTCATTGTCAGAAGGATAAGTATGGCAAGAAGTATGCTGATGGGGGCCTGAGTGTGGAGGAGGAGCCTATGGGTGTTGAAGACCCTGGCAAGGACTAGAAAAGACGTTTATAGGTCTCTTCATCTCCTTCAGTCCTCATAGTCATGTATGAGGCAGGTATTATTCCCGTATCTCAATCACTTATCCCAGCCCCTTAGCAAGAAACACCTTTAGTAAGAGCTCTTATCTGGGGATTTTTCTACTATTTTACACTTATTCATATGTTTATTGTTGGAAGGTAAATTAACCATTATAACATTTCAAGGCTGGCCATAGTTCATAGTTAAAGTGCTATACATTGAGAATCAGAGCCTACATGACTGATCTTGGTTTGAATCCTGGTCCCAGTGACTTGAAAGACACTGCAACTGCATGTGTGTACATACCCCATATCCTGACGGGGTACAGAAATGAAGGGAAGGGGCTTATGGCAGACTATTTTGCATTAAGAGGTGCTCTCTCTCTCTCTCTTTCATGAGTACACACACCCTCTTTCATGAGTACACACACTTTCAAATATATATATATATAAATATATATGTATGAGATATCTATATCTGTATCTATCTATTTATATATATCTCAAATACTAGTAGTGATACAACTCTCCTCCCCTTTTATTTTAATGTTCTATAGCATGAAGGCCCAGGACCAGGACATTATAACTTGAAAATACCTCCAACAACTTCTATTACTTCCTGTTTTCAGTCCAAAGTACCTCGATTCTTGCCCAGCTGTTCAGTAAGTATTCTAAGAGGCAGAGCCTCCAGAGGTATGGTTATGGTTATGGTTGTAGATTTAATGACTGTGTATACTACAATTCTAGTATATACAATTGCCTGTTCAGGCAGTAAGGAGTATAGGGCTCAAACACCTGGAAAAGCCAGCTTTGGGCTCAGAGTGACTTTAGCTTTTAAATCATGGTGAACTGTGGCTAAATTATTGGTCCAGCTGAAAATAGGTAGCACAGGAAACAGCCATCAATGCAATGACCTAGATGCTTTGAGGGAGAACACCCTTCATGAATTGAAGCAAATGGTGAATAGTGGCTGCTTCTAGTCACCCAGAACTGCCATGCTTTGTGTGTGTGCCTTCTGAGAGCTCAAGGATGGAAAGCATTGAAACAGAAACATTACAATTGATCCAAATGGAACCATTAAGGCATGAGTGATCATCCTGCCCCTGAGGATTCAGGACAGATAAGGAAGGAGCTGAAGTCTACAGAGAGATACTGGACTTGTGCAGAGAGCCTCGAACGCCTAGAGAAGAATCAGAAAAACTACAAAAGCATAACATGGAGCTCACCTACTGTCTCTCTCTCTCTTTTTAAATGCTGGGAACCAGCAGTTAGCGTAATGACTATGTTGCTGGACTCTTCACGTAGTTGACCGCGGTTCGCGTCCCGGACCCGGTGGCTTAAAACTCACGCTGGGCGCCTGTGCATGCGTGCCCAAGATCCCGAGAGGAGAATGGAGGAGAAGGGATTGTGGCGTGACCATCCCCCCCTGGGGGGTGATTTCTCGCTTTCTGTCTCTCTCTCTTTCTCTGTCTGGCGAGCACACGCACCCTATAGCGAAAACCTCTCAAAAAAAAAATAAATAAATGCTAAAAGACAGTTTTAACTACCATGGCCTTGCCGCTCCCAGCCTACACCCTAGTACACAAGTCCCTAAGACTTGTTGCTATGTGGACTCATTTGAGATGGTTGGGGAGACAGTAATACAAATTTTGCCTATAAGAAAGTGGGTTCACCCATGGGTCAAAGGAGTGGTGGTGGGGAAGTTGGGATAGTAGGCAGAATAGGGCTAGTACTATCACTGTCTGAGCTATAAATCACCTGTCCTAGCCCCACTTTCCCCAGGCTATGGCCTTCAAAATCTCCATGCCAGAGCTACTTGGCCGCAGTGTTGGCATAGTGTGACCTTTATCTGAAGGAATACTGAGAAGGCCCTGCTAGTAAAATTATAATTTGACATCAATAGGCTGGGGCTCCTTCACACCTTAGTGGCATCACCACAATCCAGAAACAAGTGTTTGTCAGAGCCCAGAGAGCTGAAATGCTGAGTCTGAGTCATGATAACCAAACTCCCAGGAAACTGAGTGAGAGGCCAGAAGATACAGCATTCATTTATAAACATTCACCAAGGGAGCCTAGTGTCTGGGGCCACTGCTCTGTGGAATCTCTCCCCTTATAGTAAATTTTCTTGAAAGCTAAGGACAACCAGAAGGTTGTGACAGTGAAATCAGGAATAGGATGCCAAGCTGGATGTCCACGAGGTGGCTAAACCACAACCAGCAGCCTCCTGAGGGGTGGCCTTGCAGGGTACAGACCTCCTGGACCTTCTGTTCTGTGGTCTGGACTTCCAGGACTCAACACACATGCTGTGTCTTCATTAATAGCACTGATAAAGGCTTCAGCTTCCTCTGACATTTGGCCAGGACTTGATTAGATTTCCAAACTGCTTCTCTGGTTTTGGCAAGGGAAACATCCTGTCATTTACAGTGGCTTCTGCAGGCAGCTGATCTCATCCACTCTGGGCTGACCGCTCTGCTCCACTCAGGGTAATCCTGTTTCCACTTTCATTGTCTCCTGAAGAGAAAATGAACTGCAAGGAAGTTAAAAAATGACAATTAGGTGATAATAGCAAATAATAATAGTGGTGGTAGTTAATGGGTGGAGTACTTGCCACTGGCCTGGAAAAGTGTTGTCTGTCTAAGAGGGACTCCAGTGAGCCTCATAACCTCCTATGAGGCAGACGTTCTGATACTCTGCCCTCTTGATGCACGAGGCATGGGAAGCTCATGTCCCAGGGTCACGCTGAGTATCTGGTAGTAGAACTAGGACTTGAACTCAGGCCTAATGGATTCTGAAACCTTTGCCCTTAATCTTGACATAAGTGTCTCTCCAACAGACCCAGAGTAAACCAAATTCTTTAGGTTTTCAAGGGTATGAGCATGTACTTCAGCATAGGAAACACTGGCCTAAGAAACTGAAGTCTCAGTCTATAGAAATGGCATTCATCTGCATTTTATCTCTACAAAAAATAAGCTTTATTTCAAGAATTCCCTCAGGCCCAGTCATGGTGATTCAGATCTGTAGTGTTGGAAGCTAATAGTGGCTAATAGTGGGTTCAGATCCTAAGTTGACCAGAAATGTGCTGTGTGTGTGTGTGTACCCAAGATGCTGACTAGCTTGAAGGCTGGCTGAGGGAAAGGGATCATGGCATGATGAGAACTTGTCTCACCTGTGCATGCTCATGCATTCTCTCTAATAAAAACAAATAACATTTAAAAAGAAAGAAATTAAGTAACTTCATCAAAATTAAAATATGGCTTTTAAAAATTAGAACTAGTTGGGGCCAGCAGGTGGCATGGTGGTTAAGGGTGCTGGAATCCCACATGGTTGACCACGGTTCAAGTCCTGGACCTGGCAGTTTGCTTTCTCACTTTCCCTCTCTCTCTGTCTTACTTTGCCTCACTCTGGTCAAATTAAAATAAAATAAAATAAAATAAGCTAAATAAAGTAATTCTTTTAAAAAGAAAGGAAAAAAAATAGAACAAGTGGATCCCTTGAGAATACTGCTGACTTTGGGGTCCCTAGACCCTGTTTGAGAAACACTTTATTACTATATGTGATTGAAACACAACTTGAGTTTGAGAGGCAGTTTGGGCTTTGAGTTAGACCACCCAGGCTCAGACTCTTCTCTCCAACCTTTATCATTAGGCTGTGGTCCACATGGGGATTATGGCATTTCCTGGACAGAAACTACCTAGACAATGTCTTCTAAGAGAAAGTGAGGTACAGTGAGGTGTGACCCTGTCCCCACCAGCAGGTTCTAGGTTGCTGTTGGCTTATCCTGCCCTCCTCTCAGCATCTCTCCAGCCTCATGATGAACCCTGATAAGAGCAGTCTGAGCTCCAAAGACATGCTTTGATTCAGGGGTCTACCAGGCCAGCCCAAGCTGGAGTGGCCCTTATTTCCCTCCATGGGGGATCTGTCAGCTAATCTAAGTCAGTGGCTACGCACAGGAGGCTCAGGGGTCTGTTGTCACCATCTCATCAGTCCCTGTTTCTGTTCTGTTTTCAGAAAACCCCGGGCCCAGGAGCATACACAGCTACAGAACAATACCCCAAGCAGTCTCGGACCATAGCCAAAATGGGCCGAGAACACAGCCTTTTCTTCAATAACACAATTGGTTTTTAAAATAAAATAGTCTTGATGCGACTACTTCAAGTTTTAGCAATTTATTATGTTAAGAAAACTGTTTTGTCTATTTCTTTTATTGTATTCTGAGGTTTGATCATAGAACATGATTAATTGCCCAAGGTGACCATCCTGCCTGCCTATTTACAATAGAATAGTCCTGGCATAATTAACAATTCATTCTCAAAAACCAGCTGGCTAGTTTGAGCCAGCTGTTGCAATGATGTGCATCTGTAGTCCCAGTATTCAGGAGACTGAAACAGGAAGATTGTGAATTTGAGGCTCGCCTGGGAAGCATAGTGAGATCCTATCTAAAAAAAAACAAAAATTCTGATTTGAGCAATAAATTATATACTTACTCTGTTTATTACCGAAAAGTATATCCCAAGAGTACATGTGCTGGGCAGCTCCTGCAGCATCTTGGATGGGCTCTGATAGGTCTAGGCTGCACTCTGACTAGGCTCGCTCTCTCTAGCTGGATCTTAACTGTATTACGGTTGTAAGACCTCACAGCCCTCATGGAGACTTCCTTGGGCAGTAAACAAAGACCCAACTGAGCTCAGGTCCCCCATGGGGGGGTTCTTCCTCTTAACTCTCTGAAAAAACAATAGTAATTCAATCTGATAAATATTTGTGGTTTCAAGTCACCTTGTAGGTGCTGTGTTGGGGGTGGAGAGTGGGAGACTTGAAACCAAGCTGTATGAGGCATATGACTGACTTTGGAGAGGATCATAGGGGAAGACAAGGTCAGAAAGGAAGTTGGGTAGTCCCAGCTTGAGGAAGGCTTTGGAAACTATACCCAGAAGCACCTGCAGATCACCCTGCTCAGTGACTGCCCTCACATGGATGACATTTCCAACAGGAAGAGGGCTCGTCTCAGAAAGCTGCCAGATCACTGTGCTGGGTACACAGAAGAGCAATTGTGACAATGAAGGCCTCAGGCATTCAGAGGCGGGAGATGGCAAAGTGGCCTGAACCTGAGCAGTGGAAGATGGCCACATGCAGGAGGGCAGCTTGGCTAGGACCCAAAGGGCCCAGGATGCCAAGATGGGAAAAGGGGATGAAGAAGGTTGGAGACAAGGAACACCCATCTGGGCAAAGGCCCAAGAAAGAATAAACATTTGCTGGAGGGGAACAGAGGAAGCCTGGAGGGAAATGAGAGTCAAGGGTGCAAGTGAGGGCATGGGAGGGAGTGAGGCCAGGAGGAGGCTGGGACCACATGCAGCCTTGCATGCCAGGAAGTCCTTTCTGCTTAATGAGCACTCACTAGACAGATTCTATACACAATAGCCAGTGTCTCCACAAAGAATGGGGGAGATTCCAGAGTAAGAACCAATTGGAAGAAATATGTGTCTATGTATATATATATATATATATATACTGAGATTAATATCAGGTTTAATTCCATCATGGCCAGAGAAGATACTAGATATAGTTTCTCTGCCTTTGAATCTATAAAGGCTGGTTTTGTGCCCTATCACATGGTCAATCTTCGAGAAAGTACCATGCAGGGCTGAGAAAAATGTTTATTTTGTGGAAAGTTCTATAGATGTCTGTCAAGTTCATCTGATTTATGCTAACATTTTGGTCCTGAATCTCTTTGCTTACTTTTTGTCTTATTGATCTGTCTAAAGGAGATAATGGGGTATTGAGATCTCCAAAAATTATTGTATGATCTGTCTCTCCTTTTAGATCTAGCAGTCTTTCCTTTACATATTTGGATGTTCCTGAGTTGGGTGCATAGATATTTATAAGCATTATATCTTTTTAATGGATTAGCCATTTTATTATTATATTATGCCTTTCTTTATCTCTTCTTATGGTTTTTGTCTTAAAGCCTATTTTGGTCTTCATTGGCATGGAATACCTTTTTCCAGCCCTTCACTTTTAATCTATGTATGTCTTTATCCATGAGATGGGTTTCTTGTAGGCAGCAGATGGAAGATTATTAATTTTTTTTGTTGTTGAGGTTTTTGCTATAGGGCACGTGCACTTGCCAGACAGAGAGAGACAGAGAGACAGAAAGCGAGAAATCACTCCCCAGGGGGTTGTTCACGCTGCAATCCCTTCTCCTCCATTCTCCTCTCAGGATCTTGGGCATGCACGCACATGCGCCCGGCGTGAGTTTTAAGCCACCGGGTCCAGGATGCGAACCGCAGTCAACTACGTGGGAGTCCAGTGACATAGCCATTACGCTAACTGCTGGTCCCAATAGGATTACTGATTTTTAATCCATTCAGCTAGTTTGTGCCTCTTGATTGGAGAATTTAATCCGTTAATATTCAACGTTATTATTGATATTTCCAGACTTGTCTCTACCTTTATGTTGGTCATATTCTTTTGTTGTTGTTGTTGTTGTTATTGTTTTTTCTCTTATTGCTGTCTGTCTGTCTTTAGTTTTCTTGGTATAGTACTCCTTTCAGAATTTCTTGAAGAGCTGGTCTGGAGTTGGTAAATTCTTTCAGATTTTGTTTATCTGAGAATGTTTCTATCTTCTTTTCCCATATGAAGGATAATATTGCTGGGTATAGTATTCTTGGTTGAAATTGTTTTTCATTTAGCATTTTGAATGTATTTCTCCATTTTGTCCTTGCTCTCATTGTATCTGATGAGAGGTCCAGTGTTAGCCTTTGTAAGTGACTCCACGTTCCTCTCTTGCCAATCTTAGTATCTTGTCTTTGTCTGTGGTTTTGGCCAATCTAGCTATGATGTGCCATGGAGAGGATCTTCTTGGATTGATTCTATTTGGAACTCTTTGTATTTCTCGGGTCTGAATGTTTGAGTGCCACTCTAGACTAGGAAAGTTTTCTTCCAAAATTTTGGGGAATAGATTATCAATGCCCTTATTAGTTTCTTCACCTTCTGGGATACCAGTTATTTGGATGTTTGGGCATTTCTTGATATCTAGTGTTTCTCGTATATTATCTTCAGTTTTCTTGGCTGTTTCCTTAGTATTTTTGATAATTTTCTCTAGATCAGAGGTTTTGTCTTCTACTTCTGAGATTCGATCTTCTGCGTGGTCTAACCTGCTTTTAATACTCTCGAAGGAGGTTTTGATTTCCTGTATTACAGCTTTATATCTAGTTCTGTTTGATTCTTTTTTTTTTTTCTTTTGAGAGTTTTTTGCTATAGGGTGTGTGTGCTTGCCAGAAAGACAGAGAGAAACAGAAAGTGAGAAATCACCCGCCAGGGGGGATGGCCATACCACGATCTCTTCTCCATGCTCTTCTCGGGATCTTGGGCACTCATGCACACATACCTGGCATGATTTAAGCCACCAAGTCCAGGACTCGAACTGCGGTCGACTACATGGGAGGCCAGTGACATAGACATTATACCAACTGCCGGTCCCTGTTTGATTCTTTTTTATGGTGTCTAATTCTTTTATATCATGGAAGGACTTACTCATCTCTTAGAGCTCAATGTCTCTTTTCTCTTGCATCTCATAGAGTTTTGTTACCATAAATATTATAAATTCTTTTTCTGACATTTTGGTAATATCCTCTAATTTTTCCTTACATGGAAATGATTTACAGTGTTCCCTTGCAGGAGATATATGAATTGATTCTCTCATTCTTAGGGCTCTTCTCTGATTTGTAGTCATTTGGTAATGTGTTCACGTTTGGCTAATTTGTTGGAGAAGGATTCTGGAACTGTGAACTGGTGTGTTTCCATTACTGTGAAATAATTCAGTGCTATTTTCTCCCTTATCCTGTAGAATCACAGGAGGAGTTTTGAAGTCATATTTGTGAAGGGGAGCTTCACTCTTTTTATAACCAGAAGAGTGAGGGACAAAGAATTTTCTAAAACTCACAATGTTCAGATGTTTTGCTATTATGCACCTAGCCTACTTGGGCTGAGCAGCAAAATAGGAAAGTAAGGTAAAAGAAAAAGAAAGTAGAAAACAGAAATAGGAAGAAAAATCAATGGAAAAAAAAGAGAAAGAACTAGAACAAAAAGAGAAGAAAACAGAAGTCATGTTGCAGAAAATAAAATTGGGTTAAAAATGGAAAACCACATGATGTGCAAGCGCATCATGCAAAGGGGCAGCAGAGGCAGAGATGGAGATGCCTGGATGGATTCTGTCCTAGGGAAAGGAAAAAGAGACAAATTAGCACCAGGAAGGGGACAGATTTTTTTTTTTTTTTTTTGAGAGAAAAAAGTTGGAAGGGACAGATAAGAACAAGGAGAGAGAGACTTTGCCTACCTGACTAGCACTGGGGTCTGGAAGAGGGGAGGCCCTAACTAGAGGAGAAGGGGGCTTCACAGTTGTGAAGCTGAGCCCAGAAGGGGCAGCAGAGGCTGTCTACTTTATCCTGGAGCACATACAATATTCCTTGAGGACCTAATATGTGCTAATACTGTGCTGGCATTAGGAAGTTCGCCAATGCCCTGGGTGGTCTCAACTCTATGATCACAGAACCCTGAATGATGATGTGGTAAACTGAATAAGATATGCTCCAAAAGTGTCCGTATCCTAATATCTGGGGCCTGGGATATGTTTCTTTTAAATTATTTTATTTAACTTTATTTATTATTATTATTATTTTCACATGAGTTTTGCCAGAGAAAGACTGAGAGAGAGAAAGAGAGAGAGAAAGGAAGCCGCCAGGTCCGGGACTCGAAATATGGTCAGCCATGTGGGAATTCCAGCACCTTAACCTCCACACCACTTGCTGGCCCCGATGTTATCTTTTTTTAAAAAAATTATTTATTATTATTATTATTTTAAATTTGTGTTCATCAGAGAGAGAGAGAGAGAGAAAGAGAAAGTGAGAAAGCCCGCCCACCTGTCCCGGACTTGAACTGCAGAAAGCCATGTGGGAGTCCAGCACTTTGACCATGTCACCTGCTGGCCCCAGGATATGTTATCTTACATTGTAAAAGGACTTTGTAAACATGGTTAAGGATTTTGAGATGAGTATATCCTGGATTATCTGGGTAGGGCACATTATGGGAAGACTTTTTTGAAAAGTCCTTAGGGGCCAGATGGTTGTTTAGCAGTAACACAATGCTTTGCAAGGCTGATCCAC